ATTTCTGTCATTACTAACTGGAGTCTCCATTTTTTTAGGGCATTTATTTATTTTAGTAGTTTAGAATGGTACAATATTCCTGAGTAATAAAAGTGCCGTCTAGTTGCTCATAAAAATAATTTGAGCCAAGTGGTGGCGCACGCCTTTTAATCCCAGCACTCTGAAGGCAGAGGCAGGTGGATCTCTGTGAGTTCGGGGACAGCCTTGTTTACAAAGTCAGTGCTCAGGCCAGCCAGGAATAGTGAGACCTTGTCTCAAAAAAAAAAAAAAAAAGACAAATTTGAGTCTTCTAAAAATTCAGCGTCGTACACTGAAGCTGTGTCCCACGCAGGGTGTCACCCCACCCTGTTGATGTTCCCTGAGCTGCTGGGTGAAGATGAGGAGGAGCTGTCACAGGAGAGTCTATTCTCCCTTATAATTTTAAGGTTTTAAACTGAGCAGTAATTGAAAAAAGAAAAATCGGTGCTTTTTAACCATATCGTACTTACTGTTCAGGAGAGCAGATTGCTCAGAGAGGAGGAACTGCGAAAAGAGGAGGTCCAGAGCCTGCAGGCCGAGCTCTCCGCTATGCAGACAGAAGTTAAAGCCCTGAGCACCCAAGTGGAAGAACTGAAAGATGAGTTAGTAACACAGAGGCGCAAACATGCCTCCAATGTCAAGGATCTTAGCAAACAGCTTCAGCAAGGTACTCATGTCTTGCATGTTGAGCCCCAGAATGTGCCTGTGTGTGTTAGAGATCTGATGCAGGAGGCGCACTGGCTCTGTGTGCTCCTGCGTGCATTCAGCTGTGTGTGGGGTTGGTTTTTCTCTTCGGCTCAGGTTTTGTTGTCATCCTTGTTGCAGTCTTTGTGACCTTACATACCTAGTCTTCTGCCTCACCCTCCTTGGTGTTAGGAATAAAGGGATGTGCCACAGTGCCCAACCTGTATATTCTTCTTCACTGTGTTAACATCCACAGACTAAATTACAAATACTCAGATGGCTAAACTTGCAATCCTGTGAGTAGTCTGCTTTCATGCTAAAGGCTGTTTTTCACAAAGCCACAGGAGGTGAAAATCAGGAAAGTCCCTGTGGCCAGTTGGGAGAATCTCAACCTTTTTACTTTGCATTCTGCTACCTGCAAAAGTTGTTTAAATGTGTCTCCTCCCTGCCCCCCCAAATTCATGTATGCTAATGCATGCCTATAATCCAGCAGGATCAAGTTCGTCCTCATCTACATAGTTCAAAGCCAACTGAATTCAGTTTTTTTGTTTTTTGTTTTTAAGATTTATCCGTTTTTATGCCTGTGGGCATTTGGCCTGCACACTGTGCACCACATGCTTATCTGCTCCTCATAGACACCAGAGAGGGCTTCAGATCCTCTGGGACTGGAGTTATGGAGGTCATCATGTATAGGGTGAATCCTTTTTTTTTTTTTTTTT